GGTGGGAAGAGTTTGACTCTCAGTCCCATTCCCTTATGCACTTGGCCATCAAGGGGACCCTCCCTTCCCGGCATCTGTCAGGGGCAGCTCCCTGTCCCCCAGGGTGGGTGGTTCCCATGGCTGCACTGGTGTGACAGGGACTTGGACTCTTTCCCTGAAACCTCTCTCCTGGGTCTCTGCACACACCCAACCTCCCCCAGTTCTCAGGCCCCACCAGCTCCCAGGGCCACGCGGCCTCTGGTTTGCCGGGCTCATGGAGCTGCGTGTGCCTCGGCTTCCTCCAGCCCCTCAGGAAGGCGCGTTTTATGGGTGGGGATGGGGACACCCAGGGGAGGGACTTCAGGGGCTGCTACAGGCTGCCAGCCAGGAACTGCCTGGGGCGGAGTCACTGCTCCTGGGTGGCCAGAGCAGGAGAGGAGGCAGTGAGGCCCTGGCACCTCAGTGGTAGGAGCTGCTTTGTGCTGGGTCCACTTTGTCCTTTCTGTCCGTTCCCTGAGCTGGCAGCGCAGTTCTTTCCATCCATGGCAGGTTGTGGGAGTCACCTCTGCCTGGCCTGGGCAGTGGGGGACAGGCCAGTGTGACCCAGCCTGGGGCTGCGCCATGCGTTTCCAGACATTGAGCAGCCACTCTGACCTGAACCCTTCTGTGTCACCCAGTTGTGGCAACCTGGAAAGAGTCCAGGCATCGCGGGGTGGGACTGCCATCCTGGGGTCATCTTCCCAGGAGGGTGCATGTCTCCCATTTCTCCTTGGCCAGCGCCAGCCTCCCACAGAACCGCTGCCACCCTGCGTGCGTGGCCTTGCCGCCTCTGGCTGCCCTGGAGAGGGCAGGTAGAGCCCTGGCTCTGTACGGTCACCCCCAAACCACATCAGGCCGTGCCAGCCCCAGCCCAGGGACAGCTCGGGGTCCAGACCAGCAGACCTAGCACCACCCCATGGCACCTGTGGAGAGAAGGTAGCCTGTGATTGGTCAAGTGGCCAGTGGAGCTGTGGCCTCCCTCCTGGGCCAGTATCCAGTGTAGACGGAGGCTGGCCACTCCCTGGGCTCTGCTGCTTGCTGAGGTCCTTGAACACCTGTTGCACCCCATGCTCCCTCTGTCCCTGGTCAGGCAGGGCAGCCAGCCTCCAGGGCCTCGGTGTCAGTTGGGGGCCCACACCAACAATCTTTGGCAGAGCTTCACCTCCTAGGGGACTCGACCCTGCCCTCCCACTGTCACCTACCCCATGGCAGGTGGGAAGCTGGAGCTGACCAGCTGTGCTCAAGGCTGTGTGGTCTGGGGTACTGTCCCATTGCACCTGGGCAGTCGTCTCCTCCAGGGGAGGTCCTGGTGGGGTGGCCCCAGCCACACTGTCCCAGGAACAGAGCCACATGGCTGGTTGGGAGGACCTGGTCCAGCGTGCGCTTGGCTGTCTCAGGCCACCAAGTCGAGCCGAGTCCCAGGAAGTCCTGTCCTGTAGTAGGAACTCTGTCCCTGGGGACCATCCGGAGTGATGATTGCACCCTGAGCTGGTGGCCAGAGTGGTGTGCCACATGGGCACTGGGGTCACCAAGGTCTTGGGCTGCAGGTATCTGGCTCTGACTAGGAGACCTCAGCATGTCCCCAGCCCCATGTCTTGTCCTTAGTGGGTAAGAGGCTGCTATTGTCCAGTCTGGAGGGCAGTGGTGGTGACCCATTGGTAAAACAGGGATCTGAAGTGTCCTGTGTGCTGGCTTGGTCAGTGCTGCTCAGCAGCAGGCAGGCATGTGTCCCTAGTCCCTGGGGCCTACTCTGCCATAGCACTATGGGTGGGTCTTACTCAGGCTGGCAGATCCTCACACCCCTGGCCCGTGGCCCGTGCCTTAGTTTCCCCACTTGTAAGGTACTCCAGAATATTCCACTGGAGAGCAGGTGGGTTAGAACCTAGAGGGGCTGTGGGCCGCTCAGCTGAGGCGTTGTTGAAAGTGCCTGTCCTGAATGCCTGTCCCCAGCCCACAGGGTCCAGCCAGCTTGCTGACCACAGTATGAGCAGGAGAGCAGGAGGCTGTTCCCCGGGGCTGGGTGAGGTTTTCTCAGGATGCCGGGCCTGGTGGCAGGTGGGTCTGCAGCCTCCCAGCCCAGTTCCAGAGCTGTAAGAACATGGACCCCGAACAGGAGGCTGTCCACCCTCCAAGGGGCCCCAGCAGTGTCTGCTGTAGGAGGTCCTGTGCTGCGTTTGAAGCACAGGCTTCAGATGGGTGAATGACCAGTGGGTCCACCCGGCATTCTCTCCTGCCATCCTACTGGGGTCTCTTGGCAAATGGGGTGGTCACCCTCATTGAGCCAAGTGGTGACCTTGACCCGAATGGGCAGCAGTGGCCAAGTCTGCAGAGCTGCCTGTCCTCTCTTGGAGTGGCCCAGGCTCTGGCCAGGCCAGGCCCCTCCATGTCAGGGAGGGACCCAGCTCTCTTCTGCCCGGGAAAGCGTCCAGGGCTCAGCAGGCTATTGAGGTGGTGGCAGGGAGAGGCCCCGTGTCCGCGTCCGCTGGTTCCCGTGCCCCGCTCCTCTCGGCAGGACCCTGCCTGGCATCCCTTGACCAGCATTCCCTTGTGGTCTTTGCCAGGTGGCGTATCTAATCTGAACCCAGAGTTCTCCTTCCAAGGCACCAACCTGGACGTGGGCAACATCGTGCTGGCCTTGTACAGTGGCCTCTTTGCCTACGGAGGATGGTAGGTTCCAGGGCGTCTGGCCGCTTCAGGGCCTCACAGCACTCAAGTGTGCAGCTGGGGACAGGCAGGACAGACACTGGAAGCCCTCTCAAGGGCATCCCAACCCCAGGCCGCCCTGAAGGGCCGCGAGAGGACCCCTGAGGCCTCCGTAGCACCTGTCCCTCTCTGTGTCCTCGGAACAGGCACAAGGTAGAGGCTTGCAGCCTCCCCAGCTGGGACCTGCCTGCAGCTCTGTGGCCAGCAGGTGGGAAGGTGCTAGAGGGAGGTGAGTGGGCAGGGATGCGGGAGAGCGGGAGCAGGTGGGAGTGACCGCCAGGTGCGCCCAGGCCCTGGCCTTCCCTGCTCACCGGGGTTGGCTCTGATAGGTGGAGTGAGGGGCGCGCAGGGGTTAT